TTAGCATCAGTTCCATCATTGTTCTCCCCATCACCAATAACAGCCTCACCCTCCTCGCCATCATGCTCCCTGACTCTCGACCTCAAAAACCTAAGCAGCAGCTGATATTAACGAAGACACCCCCCTACCTCTCGCCAGATCCTCACTCTCGCCCTTGCTCTGTGGGTCAGCGCCGTCTTGGCTCGGCAGGAGGAGAGGAGCCAAGTTGGCGAAGCAGAGGAGGAGGAGAAGGTGGTGGAGGTCCTGGCTGAGGACTTCGAGGAGGAGGTGAGGAAAATCCAAAGAGTGTTGGCTTGATTCATTTATCTTATTGTTTATGTATCTATTTATTTATTTATCTATTTATTTAGTGTTTTTTTTTTGGGGGGGGAGAAGTAGTCCAGGTGTTGGTTTAATGTTTTGTTTTTGTTTGTTTTCTTATTGAGTTATTTCTTATTTTGTATGCGTCTATGTGAATAATTTCTAATAATAGATTGACAGAAACAGAAGACACGAATCAATTTATTTTTGGTTAATTTTATCTATTTTTGTGAGTTATTTCTCACGTAATACTGATAGATAGAGAAATAGGAAAGACAAGAGTGATAATGCAGGGGAAGGAAGACAGAAAGATGGATGAATGAGCGAATAGAAATGAAGGAGGTGAAAAAAAGAAAAAAATAACAAGAGAATAAAAAAACAAGAAAATGGAGATAAGCAGGCAAAATAAATCATGCCGAATAAGCAAGAAAACAACTACGAAAAAAATTCTTCCCTCCCTTTCCTCTTCTTCCATCCCTTCCCTTCCCCCTCCCTTCCTCTTCCTCCCTCCCTTCCTCTTCCCCTATTCCTACTCTCCTCTCCTCCCACCTACCTACATAACCCCCTGGAAAAAAATAATAAGACAAGAAACACCAACTCACCCACCTTCCTCCTCCTACGCCCCCCACCGCCCACGCCCACGCCAGGACGCCCTCGAGCCCGCCCTTGGGAACGACGACGACGTGGAGGAAGGCGGCGCCGAGTGTTCCAGGATTTCCCCGAAGGAGGTCTTCCACACGGAGCTACATCCGAGACTTCTGAAAGCCATGGACGGTGCGCGAGAATTTTTTATTTATTATATTTGTCTATTTGCCTGTTTATCTATTTATTTATTCTATTATTCTTGTGTGTGTGTCTTTGTGATTATTGATTATTTACTGTCATTCGTTGTGATATTTTGTTGTCGTGGCTGCCATTAGTATCAATGTGTATTATTATTATTATGTATTATTTTTGTATTATTACATATCATCATAACTGTTATGTATAAGTAGCAGTGCTATATTCCATATTCTCATTATTCTCAGCATTAATTTGATCATTATTATATTATATAAAGGTCGTTTCATCATCCCTTTTGCATGATACAACTGTAGCTGCGTCTGATTCCTTTCCAGAGATGAGTCTTTACGTGGAAGCGGTGGTGGAGCGCGTGGAAAGAGCGGTGGAAGTGCTTCTCCCTCATGTCCCAGATTCGCCCATGTAAGCTATTCTTTAAGGATTTGTCCACCATATCCCTCCCTCCCACCTCTCCGTCTCTCTCACCCTCTCCCTCTCTCTCACCTCTCGTCCCTCACACTCTCTCCCTCACTCACACCCTCTCCGTCTCTCCACCTCTCCCTCCCTTCCTCTCACCTCTCCCTCCCTCTCACCCTCTCCGTCTCTCTCATCCTCTCCCTCCCTCTCACCCTCTTCCTCCCTCTATTTTTCAAGCGCTTATCCATTTATCTTTTCATAGAAGGGCAATTTTCTTTTAAGCCATTTTCTTCAGGTGTTGCAGTGTTTTTTTCCATCAACGTGAAGAAACAAGAGTAATGAAAGTTAATTTCTTTCTCTCTCTTATTCTCTCTCTCTCTCTGGAAATTATGATACTATTTTTTTTTTTCCATTGGTATTAAGAACTGCCCTTAAAACCCTTGAAAATAGAAATTTATTGTGATCCTGAACTTAATTACCTTACAAGATAATCTCCGCTATCATCTCACATTTCCTTTGTTATCTTGTACGGAAACCTTTTTATTTCTGAACTAATTCTTTCTTGCAATGTGGAAATCTGACTCTTACTTCAGTGTTAAGGTTATTTGTATTCGTAACATGGAGAGCTGCTTAAAGATACTACGTCCGTGTCTTAATTTTTAATTTTGTATTTCATTTTGGTTTCTTGGCCGTGGTGTGAGGGCCTCTTTTGTGTCTGTATCTCGCAGCCGGAGAAAAGTGAATATGTGAACTAAACTTGTTCGATCTCGACTCTCTCTCTCCTATCTATCTATCCATCTATCTCTCTATTTATTTATCCATATCTCTCTCTCTCTATCTAAACTAAACTTGTTCGATCTCTCTCTCTCTCTATCTAACTATCTAAACTAAACTTGTTCGATCTTTCTCTCTCTCTTTTTATCAATTTCTCTCTCTCACTCCCTCTCTCTTTGTATCTATCTATCTGTCTGTCCATCTATCTATCTATCTGTCTATCTCTATCTATCTATCTGTCTATCTCTATTTATGTATCTGTCTATCTCTTTATCTATCTGTCTATCTATCTATCAATCTACTTCTCCCTCTCTCACCGCAGAGGAGAGCTGAAAAGCCAAGAACTGTTTCCGGAGCTTCGAGACTTCATACTCGGGACGATCCGGGACGCGTACGACTTGGTGAGAACCGCCTGGAGGGATCTCATTCGCGCCCACTCCCGAGGAAACCTTGGGAGCGAGGAGACACTGCGGGCCCTTCAGCTCATAAGAGGTAGCTGCCTTTGTTTTTAAAAGCGAAATAGATCCCTCTTTAGAAAAAAATGAGGATCAGAAATATTCCTCGGTTATCATAAGAAAAAATAAATGTTTATGTAAAAAAAGATCGAAATCGCCCTTATCGTTCGAGTTGGGTAGAATTCAAACGTAAACAAAGAATTAATGGCGGCCTTTTCATAGTGAAACCATTCCTGGTTTTCCTAAGGCTATGCTGATAAAAAACAAGTAACATTATAATCAATAAGATTGAGCATTTGTACGCATTTTCAGACGCTCAGCATCAAGGAGACCGGTATCTGAACACAGCCCTACAGGAGCTTTCGGTCACCATCAAAGCCATTGTTATGAACAGTAAGTAAAGCGACCGAAAAAAGCCTGAGGCATACGTGATGATAAATACGGAGAGAATAAATGAAAACAGGGGATAGTTGATGATAAATAAAGAATAAAAATGAAATATAGATAAAGTATAAGATAAAAAATGATAGAATAAAAGGAGTATACCATTATTTAAGGAATTCTCAAGAAGAATAACGGAGGAAATGTTCAATATTAGGTATTAGGATATTCAGCATTGGAATAGGTATTAGGATATTCAACATTGGAATTAGGTATTAGGATATTCATCATTGGAATTAGGTATTAGGATATTCAGCATTGGTATTAGGTATTAGGCATTGGAATTAGGTATTAGGATATTCAGGAATTAGGTATTAGGATATTCAGCATTGGATTATATAGGATATTCAGGATTAGGTTTAGGATATTCAGCATTGGAATTAGGTATCAATTGGAATTAGGTATTAGGATATTCAGCATTGGAATTAGGTATTAGGGGAATTAGGTATTAGGATATTCAGCAGCATCGCACATTCGGGGTATTAGGAGCATATTCAGCACAGGAATTAGGTATTAGGATATTCAGCAGCATCATATTCAGCACAGCAGCACAACAACGCGACCCCGCCCGACGCCGACTGTAACATGACTGTAAATAAAGAAAATGTATAACATGAATATATAGTGTAGATGTCGACCTGAGAGATCCTGGAGAAATTAGAGAGAAATGTATAAAATGTTTTTACGACAACGAAAAGAGTAATGGAATAAACGTACGAAAAATACCAAAAAAGGGATTAGATTGGAAAGAAAAGAATATAAACGACAGTGGGTCACAGAAGGAAGGGAAAGGGGATTGACTGAGCTCCTTATTTCAGGCATCTACGTGGTTCACAGGTCACTGCATTTACCCAACGACACTAAGGAACACGACATTGCCGAGGCCGTTCACAGCAAACTCCCGAAGGTTTGGTTCCCTATTTTCTAATTATTATTACTATTTTCTTTCTTCTTTTGCTTTTTCTTTGTGTATTTTTTCCTTTTTTTCCTTTCCTTTTTAAACATTTTTTCCTCTCATTTCCTTTTTCTTCTTTTTTTTATTAGGAAACGGAAAATTATTTCATTTTTTCGTGGCGAAAATGCGTTTGAGGATTGGTGATAACAGTCTGATTGCAACACTACCGAATAACATCGCTGTGCATATGAATGTAGGTGTGTTTCTGTGTGTGTGTGCGCGCGCGCGTGTGTGTGTATTCCCCTGAAAGCGATCCATTCGAAATCGTCTTTTCGCAGGTCGCCCCCAACTTCCTGGGGAACGTGATGGCCAAAGTGCTGGAGAGAGGATCAGATCCTTCTGGCTACAAAAAGATCTTGACAGATCCTCTACGGGATCTCAATAAAGCTGTTGATGAGGTAGTGAGAGGAATGAATGTTTTTTTTACAGTGCTTGATAGCCGTTCTTTACAAATGACTAAGTTATATCTATGTATTATTTTTAAATTTAGGATTTTAGATTCACCTCGTTATATACGGAATTCAAACGCATCCAAAATAAAATATAATCGCTAATCATAACCGCCAGCGTCCTTACCCTAAACAGATGCATTCAGCTCTCGAGACTGCCATAGAAAACGGGAACGCAGAGGACATGGCGGCCTACTGGAGGGAGGTTGTTGCTCAAAGTCATCAGCGAATGAGAGACGATCCCTTGCTTGAGGAAGACCTTGAAATTATTTATCTAAACGAAACCTATTTGACTGAACTTACTCTAAGTCTCATGGCAACGTGGTGAGAGAAAGTCCCATTATAAAGGATAAAAATAAAATAGGTGATAATTTTTTTCTCTTCAAAATCTTGTCCTGGATTGAATTAATAAAAAAGCACGTTATTATATTCCGATTTTCCTTACTTATTCCAATCCTTTTTTACAGCGATACCTCCATTTTCACTAATTTTCAGACTATCATTCAAAAAGAAAGAGCAAGGTTCTCGTGACCATCTCTCTGGTCTCGCAGACCACAAGCTCCATGTGTTTTTTATTTCACAGTACCTGCAATAGGAACAACGAAGGGAATAACATGAAACACGTTATTCCTATTGGAAATTTGTTCGACATGAATTCTTCACAGTACGTCAACGCAAGGTCTATAAAGTATTATATAGACCTTGCGTCAACGTGCCCTGCGTTCCGAACGAGATGGACGAAGGGATCTAAGAGTTCTGCTCGCAGTTACTCTGAAGCTGCTCCGTCAGCTCCCTTATCGACAACATCTCGTTACAGTCCGTTCGGAACCTCCACTATCTCGTCCCGGACAAGTAGTCTAGCTCGTCCAACTCGCCCTCCTGCGAAGGTGGGCGAGCAGGACGAGATGACGTCACAATAGATTTTGTATGTAAACATTGACAGTTGCAGGTAACCACAAGATATTGGTGGGTAATTTTATGACCCTTTATTGGTGTTATCAAAGGATATTTTTGTGTTTGTCAGTTGCAGGTAAGTTAAATGTGCATCAAAGGAGTTACAAAACTTATGTAGCATGTAAAATAGAGACACCGGAATGGTAAAAAAGGGAATGTTTACCGGGTTGCATTCTGGGCAGAAAGGGTCTGCTGGTCCTGGACAAGATGTCTGGACGAGCAAGACGAGCAGTTCAGAACGCAGCAGAACCATACATTATATATAAAGGTATCCTTTGTATTTCACCACGAAACACATGTGACCATATGTTTCTAAATTTGTGTTCATTCAAATTCTTTCATGTTTTCCATCATGGAATGTTTTAAAACGAAGTTTGTTCATAGCAATTTCTGTAGATCGCACATAGCGCTCTGTAGCGACTAGCGCTGCTTCCGGCATGGCATGTCACAGGAACAGCCCTGAGCGTCTCTGCCTGCCTATTTGTACCAGCTACCATACTCTCGCAGAAATAAAGTTAAGAATCTGCGGCAGCTTTAACTCCAAGAGAACCAACCAGTCCCTTAGCCACCTTCATAGTGGGGACGCGTCCACTTGGCTGCCAAGTGTGATAACCCTCCCCGCTACATTACATTGGTGGCAGAGCAAGCGGGATATTCTCCCCTCTTTACTTCGAAGGTGAAGCAGCGCCCATTGAAAAGAAAAGTTATAATCCAGAGTGCACATGTGGGGTGGTACATAAATTGTTGCTCCGCTTTAGACTGACGTTCATAAACATAGACGAAACAGTCACAATAAAAAGATACGCTTCAAATCCACTTCAGGCGCATCGCTTGTAATTAGACAGCATGGAAGCGAGCGAAAGAGAGGGGGAGAGAAACGGACAGACAGACAGATAGCATAATATGGCCATAATGCTCAGTTTCAGTCTCAAGGTTTTGTCTCTAAGCAAAGGGAGTGCAAATACTCAATGAAGATGACGTGGTGCCAGGTCGGCCCTCTTGGTTCCTTGCTGACGCGAGGGCACCGAGAGGGAATCCTCCACGAAGGCGCGCGCCCGGTCTGACCTACGCCCTCAGAGACAAGTCAAGGATTGGCTTCAAAGGAACTTGTGATGTGGGCTTTCTTTCGACATCACCTGGATTGGCGAAGTCCCGGGAGAATTCGGAAAGAAGTTATTGAGAGGCATTGTTAGGTCTTGACTGGAAGGAGTTTGGTGGCCATGCTTGCTGCCTCCGTGGCTAGAATGAACGCCATCAAAGTACCTCACACCTGCGACAAAAGATACCATTTAGACGGATTCAACCCTGTGGTAAGCGTGGACCCCAAGCGGGCTTCGCTCCTGTGACAAAAATAATTTCCATTCGAGAGATTAGCCTTGTGGCAAGAGTTAACAGCATCTGAGGGACTTACTGACAAGAGCCCATTAGAAGGATTCATCCCTTTGCAGAAGTGAACATTACTTGAATCATTCACTCTGTGGCAAAGGAACCACCCCTAGAAGACTCGTGACAAGAGTGTAGAGCACTGGAGAGATTAACACGTGTAAGAAGAAAGAAAACCATTAGATAGATCCTCGTGCATATCATTGATGAACGATTGCTATAGACTGGTCCAGGTTGTCAAGAATGCGATCATCTATCTGTCATTTTTTTCTTTTGGACGACGGAATTTCGCATCGTCTTATCGTATACACTAACGCTGCGCGTTTGTTTTCATGGCGCAGGTACCAGTTTGTATATATATATATATATATATATATATATATATATATATATATATATATATATATATATATCATACACACACACACACACACACACACACACACACACACACACACACACACACACACACACACACACACATATATATATATATATATATATATATATATATATATATATATATATATATATATATATATATATGTCAACTCAGAAGATCGAAAGTTACAATGCTGATCACGAAAAACAA